GGCCAGTTGCCCCTGCCGACTCTCAGGGCAACCACAAAGGTGGCAGTCCACCCAGGCTGGTTCCAAGCTGTCATTGGTCAAATCAGGCTGTGCCACTCACCTCCCTGCTTTTGGCAATGTCGTTATTCCTCTGAACTGTGCACAGCATCTAGCTAGGGCCCACTCCCATGTCTTTGCTCTTTTTTTTTCCATATGCATCCATCCCAGTCTAGGGGCTGCTGTCAACAAGGCAAGGTGTGCCCTCTACACATCATCCTCACCACCACCCCTGCCAGCCTCCTTCAGGTGTTCTTTAAGAATTAAAGAAATGAAAGCTCTCATGGTGGAGCCACAGGCAAGGAGAGAAAGAGAGAAAGGTAGACAAGTGGCCCCTCACAAGATTTGACCTAGAATTCTGGGCAAGAAGCAGCTCCTAGGGCTTATGACTTAGGCTAGAAGCTCTTCAAACTTCAGCCTCTATAGCCACAGAAGAAAGAGGCCAGCAAGAGGGGCGTGACTGTGAGGAATGGCACGTGAGTTAATGACAGCACCTAAGGGCTTAGCTGGCCATGCAAAGTCCTGGCTGGGACCCAGGTAATGATCCTTGGTTCACATGCCTTCCTCTTGCACACTGCCAAGACGTCAACTGCAATATGCTGACAGGGCTGCTAAACATGCTTATTCCGAATGGGAACTCCTGCAACAGATAACTATCACAATGTCATGTCTAGGAGAGGGGGGCAGTAGGAGGGGTTTGCCTAGGTGGGAGGAGTATTTTATCATTGTCATTTGCATAGAATTGCTATCACATGGTGATACTAAAAAGCAGACAGACTTAGTCTTATTACTATTGTTTAAAGTTTCTACAGATAATTGGCTGCATCTGGGCAAACCACTCTCACCACCCCCACCAACCCCCTTGGTACACCTTTGCTGTATTAATCTGCTACCAGATGCTAGATACTTTGCTAGGCCCTAGAGATATATCAGTGAACAAGCTTCTACTCTTGAGGAGCTTATACTCTACGTGAAGAGACAAAGACATAAACAGACAAGAATAATCTTAGCTGATAATAAGTGCTATGCAGATAATTAAAGAAGGGAGAGGTGGTTGCCAGTGAGTAGGTGGCAACTTTGGATTAGATGCTTGAGGAAATATCAGTTATACTGTCATGAAAGAGCTATCTGTACAAAACTAAGTGGAAGAGCATTTCAGAGGGAGGGCACAGCTTATACAAAGGCCCTTATCAGGGTGGCTATGGCACAGTAAGCAAGAGCTAGAATAGTACAAGGGCAAAGAGGCAGGTAGGGGTCTGCATGAATTGCTTGGGGAATACTGGGCAGAAGGGCTGGTTTAAGGGAAAAAACCAGGAGGTCTGCTTTGGCCGTGTTATATTTAGGATGTCTTTTAGATATGCAAGTAAAGATGTCAAGCAGGAGTTTAAAATGTGCATCTGGAGTTCAAAGGAGTGGTCAGGGCAGGAGATCAAACATGAGAGTGGTTTTGGGAACTCCTGAACTTCCAGTTGATATTAGAAGTGGAGGATTGTGCCCTCAGACTGTGCAGTTTGGCTGATTCCAGGTACAGATACTTCTCCTCTTATCGTAAGTTGAAAAATATCTTAAGTTGAAAATGCATTTAATACACCTAACCTACTGAACATCATGGCTTAGCCTAGCCTACCTCAAACATGCTCAGAAACTTACATTAGCCTACAGAAGGGCAAAATTATCTAACACAAAGCCTATTTTATAATAAAGTGTTGAATATCTCATGTAATTTATTAAATACTGAAAGTGAAGAACAGAATGGTTTTGTGGGTGCTCGATATAGTTTCTAGTGAATGCATATGGCCTTTGCACCATCTTAAAGTTGAAAAACTGTAAGTCAATCATAAGTCAGGGACCATCTGTATTATGTGAATTAGAATTAGAATGTGAATTAGAATTGAAAGGGATCTAGAGATCTTCTAATTCAACTCAATTTTCTTTTTTTTTTTTTTTTTCCTTTTTGTCTTTTTTCGTGTCCGGCAACGGATCGCAACCCTCAGTGTCGCGCCTGTACCGGACCGGGACCGGCAACAGGATCACAACCCTCGGTGTTACGTCCGCACCTCGCTCAGCCAGTGAGCGGGAACCAGTCTGTATGTGGGATCCGAACCCTCGGCGGGAGCGCCACCGCGCTCCCAAACGGCGCACTGTAGCATGCGCCACCGGGCCGGCCCCTCAACTCAATTTTCTAAGTGAGGAAATAGAAGTCTAGAGAGGAAAAGTAACTTGCTCAAGGTCACATAATATTACAGAGTGGGGACTAGCCCTTGAGTGTCCTGACTCCCAGCGTGGTGGACTTTCCATAATACCCTGTATTGACTTTGAAGGCTGAGTGGAGAAAAGCTTATCCTGGAGTCAGACTGACTTCGTTAAGGGATTTCTTTGTAAGCCCCTATATTTAGGGAAGCTTATTCCTTACTATGTTTCCTGCCTTGACTATGACACATTATAGTTTTCTTTCTTTTTTTTTTTTAGTAATAATTACTATATTTGTCATTATACAATGTCATTATTTTTTGTGGCCCTTAATTAGTTTTTTCTTAAAAAGTTTAAGCTGCAATATTTATAAATAAGGGGCTTGTACCAAAGAAGAGCCATGCTTCCTGTGGGGTGGAAATTCTTTTTTGTGTGTGAATTATCTCTTTGCTACTGGACTTTTATGCTATGGATATCATTTCTGTGTAACCTAGATTTTATTGCCAGCAGGGATCTTGGCAATTTTATTTTTGTTTACCCCTAAATTTTACATACAAAGATGCACATAAATGGGAAGAAACCTACCCAAGGTCACCTGGTAAGTCAGTGGCAAGGACAGGGTTAAACTCAGGTCTTCTGACTCTCAGCACAGCCTTCCTTCTAGTTCAGAATGATTTCCCTTGTAGAAGGCCAACAGAGCATCACACACATTTACAGAAGTACTTGAGGGCCCCTCACAGAATCCCAGAGCAGCCCATTTTGTCTGGACAGTATCAGGCCCTCTGACCCTGTCATAAATTCTTTAAGAGACAACCAGATGTACTCTGTATTTTTCAGAGTTAAAGGGAAGAAGGGTCTACTTCCTCTAGAGCAGGGACAAGTAGTAATCTGTCACACTTCCTCTAGAACAGGGATGAGCAATCATCTGATTAGCAGATTATCTCCCACTATCCACTGAGAGGTAGTATAGATCAAAAGGCAGGACTAGGACCCAAACATCTTGATTCCATCACCTTTACAAAATCATAAAATCTAACCACAGGCCTGATGTTTTTTTTGTTTTGTTTTGTTTTTTCCTTTTTGTCTTTTTTCGTGACCGGTAACGGGATCGCAACCCTCGGTGTCACGCCCGTACCGTGACCGGCAACAGGATCGCAACCCTCGGTGTCGGGCCCGCACCGCACTCAACCAGTGAGCAGACCGGTCTCTATACGGGATCTGAACCCTTGGCGGGAGCGCCGCTGTGCTCCCAAGCGCTGCACTCTACCGAGTGCACCACCGGGCTGGCCCAGCCTGATGTTTTTTAACCATGAAAATCTTTTTAACACCTCTAGTTTAGTACAATATTTAAATAATGGGCTTGTATCTCTAACAAGCAATTAAGTTTTGTTTTCCTAATTACTCTGATTCTCTAGTAAATAACATGTACAGGAATAGATTCTCACACTTGGTCAGAGGACGGACACAGCGTGAATCAGATAAAGAAGATGTGAAACACTCATAAGAGCTAATATGATAACATCCCACAAAGCATCAATGAGGAAGAAAGAAATTTTTAGAGTACAAAAGGTATTTAGAGATTGTGTCATATTTATAGGCAGGGAAACTGATATCCAGAGAGGGAACTGACTTACCAGTTGTCATAGTATTTTATTCTAGTCATTTTCTGGGGAAATAGTTCTTGTACATTGTGCTTCTAGCTTTCTTAAATACAATATGGAATACTGACTAAAATATAACCCTTTCTTGATGATTCAGGTTCATTATATGAATATCAACATTTCTATGTTATGATTCTGTGATATTCGAATGACAAGAAGAGCAATGTATGGTAATTTGCTTCTAACCTAAATAATCCAGACGACTTTATATTGTGTTTTTCCTCCTCCCATCCAGTATAAGACTGACAGCCTTTTCTTTCTTACTGAAGAATTTCTAGAATCCAGTTACTTTGCTTCTGATTGCAGTATAATCCCAGTGAGGCACTGATCTTTAGGAAGGCTGTAGGGAATCCAAGCCCAGAGGCTGCTTACTTATATAACAACAACGGTTAATCTTTATTGGGTGCTTAGTATGTGCTATGCTGTATTTTAGGTTCCTTACTTCATTTAATATGCATAGTAACACTCTGAGACAGGTATTGTGCTTATCTCTCCTGAGTTCCAGATAACATTATCTAGGGTCACAAAGCCAGTAAAGGGAAGGTCCAGGATTCAAACTGGGAGAAGTTCTCACTTCAAAACTCACACTCTGAATCACTATTCTATTCTACCTCCCTGTTTGATGTTGGGTTTTGAAAGAAAGATTTCTGAGACTTCTCACTTACAAATGATAAATCTTGAGCCCTTTTTGGGGTTACACAAGCTGTTTAGGGGAAGAACCAGACTAAGACTCAGTCCTCTGATTCATTGTCCCAAGTTCTCACCACTTCATTACACAAAAGTTCAGTGGAGAGAAGAGTTTGGGTATATTTTTGAAAAATGAGATACTTCCTTTGGGGGACTGAAGACCCTGCCTGTCTTTGGCTCCTTCTGGAGCCACAGGGCCTGCTGTTCCATAAAAACTTCAATTTCCCATTAGATCTACAGCTGGGATACTGTCACTATGGATGTGATGGACCTGTCGTGCATCACAGTCAACTGAAAAAGGCCACCTTGTTTCCCTTTGGAAGGAAAGCAGATTTCTAATTTGAGTTTTGCTTTGTCACTCTTTCCCAGAATGAGGGACCTGACTGTCCCCTTTCCAGACCAGCAAATTTCTCAGTAAGACCCTTCTTTTTTACAAATGTGGCAGACCCATCACAGTGAACAGCTGGTGAGCAATTTGACCCAGTTCTTCCTCAGAGACCTCTCAGTTTAAAAATGGGAGCATCCTTAGACCCTGGGAAAACTGGCTCTGGTTCCCCAGAAACTTCAAATTCAGATGGCAGAGATCCAGTATTCCATGTCTAGACAGTCCTGTAGCTGCTACTGCAGATTGCTAATGATAAGGCCCCCAATAAGGGGTGGTGGGAGATAATCAGGCCTCCAGAAGTGAGGAAAGGGAAGGGAAAGAAGAGGTAAAGACTCGTTAGATCTTCTTCAGCCCTGTGGGTATCTGACCTCTTCTCAACTAGCCTCTGGGCTTGAGAATGGTTCCCAGCTCCTTTCAGTCTCCTCCCAGCTGCTTACCTGTGGTTGCTGGGTGGTTAAGGGTCTCTGAGGGGACAGGACAGGAGTCCTGGACAGCAGCTGGTTCATCTTGCTGATGACTAGTTCGGTGATGAATTGTCTGTCTTCTACCTGGTGCTCCCCAATCAGCGGCATACTACAGTCCATGACCTGGTGGAAGATGTGCCCAGGTGAGGAAAGGGTCTGGAAACATAAAAGGCCTGGTACGGTCTTTTAGAATGGGTAGGATGTAAGCCAGCAGGGATGGGATGGAGATAAAGCAGGTGTTCTTGTCTTCAGCTGAAAGTACGTTCCTTTGCAGAAACAGGACTTTTATCACCTCCCTTTGTGAACCTGTGCCTCAGGCCCTCCCCCTAACCTTCATCCAGGCCAGGGCTCAGTGGGACTAAAAGACTGCTGGCTGAAGATAGAGGGAAGAGGTAGAGAGCAAGGAGAGGGTACAGCCCCAGGACTCAGAAGTTTTCAGGCTTTCCCTTAAGTCTCTGGTTAGAAGCAGGCAGTTTTCATCTCTGACTTTTCACCCACACAATCTCTGTCTGCAAACATGCTCTGCTCATTGAATGACCAGATTCCTGCCTTTGCTCCTGAAATGGGATGTCTTCTCCATACACAATCAATACTGATATTCCTTTACCTTTAAGCCCAGATCAATGTTTTCTTCCTTTAGGAAATACCTGTCTTACTGGGATCATAGACTCTGTAGTCCAACTCTTTCATTTATGGATGAGAAAACTGAGGCCCACCCAGAGAGGGGAGGTGTGACCATACAGAAGGTTACATGCCAAGCAGGCCTTGGGGTAGATTCTGAGTCTAAAGCCCACTGACTCTTCCTTTAATACAGGAAAAGGGAGTCAGAAAGTCGTGTTAGAGGACCAGGCTGAGTAAAGTGTCTCCAAGTCTCAGGGAGAGGCTGAGGAGAATCTCCTGCATCTAGGTGCCCAGGTTGCAACCCGATTTACCCTGTGGCCTTGGGCACATGCTCATGGCACTAGGTCTCAGTTTTCTCACCTGTCAAATGAACAGATTGGGTCAAATGACTCATAAGGGCAGCTTTCTGAGACCAGGAATGGTAAAATCACTACAGTCTTCCCAGAGGAATGGCATTAGTCTAGGACACCAGCATCTCTTACCCATGGTGTAGGTCAGCCTAGCAGGTTGGAAACAATAGCTCCCCACTGTCAGAGGTGTCTTGCTACACAGATCCACTCATTTGCTGTCTGGAACATTCCCATGGCTCAGGAAACTCTAACCTAAGTGCCGTCTGGGCTTCCCACCTAGTTTTCAAGCCAAGAGCTTGGCCTTCAGCCTTAGGGATTGTCTCTTACTGAGATACTTCTTGGGCCAGACATACCTCAAAAATGTAGTCTTTCCCATCTTTGCCATGTACAGCTTTGACAGCACAGATATCCAGGCCACCAAACATCTCAGAGCAGGTGTCCACCCACAGTTTGTACCTGGATGGGATGGGAAGATGTCCTGAGGCTGGGCACTGGCTCACATCAGGACTTCTTGCTGCCCAGGCTCTCCTTGCAGCCTCCCCCAACCCCATCAAGCACATTCCCATATCTACAATGCCCTCCCCCTGCTCTCCAGACCCTCCCCATCTTTCCACCTCTTGGAGGGCTTCCTTGGCTATCCCAGTCCATGTAGCTACTCCTTTCTTCGAGCTTCTGTGGTATGTACAGTCTTTATCTCCATAATTTAGCACAAGACCCAGTCCTGCCTGATCTATTAACTGGTCACTTGGGCCTTTGTGTTTTATCTGTCCTGTTTGGTCAGAGGCTCCCCTCGCACAGGGCTCATTTCTTATACCTCTTCATCCATGGAGGCCTTCCTCTCACAGGGCTAGAGACCTGACTCCTCCTTCTACTCACCTGTCTGACATGGCAATTTGCTCCAGCATTGCAGAACCAGTGTTCGTCTTCCAGTTCCCTGAGATTGAGGTCCTCCTGCAACAAGGTTGCACCAGGACAGAACAGGCAGTGAGCCACTCCAGAAGGAGGAGGGCACGAAACCGTCCAGAATTTTAGCTCACTGCTGCTTTCCCTACCTTCTTCTCCCACAAATTACCCAGGGGTCTGTCTACTGAGCCTACAGCCTGCTGCCTCTGCCAAACCCCCACCTACAACACCCTGTACCTCTCTGCAAGGGTCAAGCCCAGGTGGCTCTGGCTGCATGGGGCCTGCCCTGATCTTTTCTACCAGATGAGCCCTTGTCCTCCTGAGAACCTCTATAGGACTTCACCTGTAGCACACTTACAATCCTGCATCTACTTTTTACTTTAGCTATTTGAGCTGAGTCTTAAGCTAAGACTTGTCCACAAGTCTGTAACCACCTGAGGTATAGATTGTGTCTTGAATCCTCAGCAGCCTACCACTCAGTATCTGGGATGACTCGGTATATACAAACTGAATTCCATTGATCCTGGGAACTCCCTCATGTTCTTATGAATATCTCCCAATGTCTTCCTCCCTGGCTCATACATTTATTCATTCAACAGTTAACTTCAAAGGTCCACTACACTATCAGCCATGTGACTCTGGGCAAGTCAGTGAACTCTTTGGGCTTCAGTTGCTTCATCCGTCAAGTGGAGCTGACCAGCATCACACCACCAACCTCTTCTCTACTGTGCCAACTGCACCCTCCATCCACGAGCATGTGTTAGAGTCAGTTAGTCTTAGATTAAATAGGAAGCAGATGACTTGGTTTCTGGTTCTGGATTTGCTTTTGACTAGCTTGGTGACCCTGGGAAAGTCACTTCAGTTCTCTAAGCCTTCCTTATCTGTAAATACAGATCAATTGGTCAGGAGAACCAATTGGTACAGGTTTAAATAAACTGTATAAAACCAAAATATATCTTTTAAATTATTAGTCTTCACCCAGACATAGTCAAGAGGAAGGGGATGGCCTTGGGGACAGAAAAGCCCTGCTTGTTATGTGCTGCCCTTATCACTCAATACTGTTTGGCTACCCGGGGCATGTGGGAGCAGAGGGGACACTGAGAGGCCACTCAGTGCCAGCTCAACTGCCTCTGTGGACTCGTAGGTCATCTGACCTCTGCAGAGGGACCCATGTTATTGCCTCCTGAGGGTGGAGGCAGAATAGCACCTTCTTTTCACCAAGCATGGCTATCTCTGGATCTCTAGGGTGCAAGCTGGGGGAGAGTGGAATTCCAAACCTTATCATGGCTATTGCTAAGTCAGTTCCTCCTTCTGAGAGCAGAGATATAACCAAGTTTGGGGAAGAGGCATGTGGAAGAGGAGCTAAGAGGGCCTGCACATTCTTCCACATAACTGATGGCCCCTTGCAAATAAGAAAGTACGTAGATGTTATTTAAAGCTTCTCTGGTCGCCCACCCTTCATCAGTGTTTGGCAATTCTTTTTTCTTATGCTTCATTTTAAATCGTTTCTGGAAACCCTAACCCTTAAACATTTGTGTCTCCTTTTAAGAATCAAGATTTTTTTTTTTGTCTTTTTCTGTGTCCGGCAACGGATCACAACTCTCAGTGTCGCCACCGCACCGGACCGGGGACCGGCAACGGGATCGCAACCCTCAGTGCTGCTCCCGCGCCTCGCTCAGCCAGTGAGCGGGAACCGGTCTGTATGTGGGATCCGAACCCTCGGGCGGGAGCGCCGCCGCGCCTCCCAAGCGGCGCACTCATCCAGTGCGCCACCGGGCCGGCCCCAGAATCAAGATGTTTTTGCTCCACTGTCATCATGAATAAATATTTTGTGTTTAGAGGATTTTAAAATTAAAAGATAGGAAATCTGCTTTCCTAGGTGCTTGCAAATATCCATTCTTCTGCTTCTTTTAGCTAGTTTTTATAATGGTCTTTTAAATTATTCTGCCTTATATTGTGCATATTTTTAAAATAACCCTAAATTCCTTTCCGGAAGCAGGAAGACTGCAAGTATAAAATTAAAAACATTTTAAAAGTAGAAATCCAAGTCAATAAAGGGATAAAGAAAATTTTGTGCCTCAGTTTTCTACAAGGGCTCTTCCCTGAATACTTGTAGGTGCCTGGAAAGTGTGTGCCTGCTACTTCCACTGTTCTCTCCCACAGGAGCTCAGAGTCAGAGGAGAGCGACACCAAACACACATGCGTGGAAGGGGCTAAACTAGAGGTGTATGAGGCATGGGAAAGGAATGTAGGGAATGCGTGCCTATCCAACTCCAGGGCTGGGGAGTGTAAATACTGAAAGAGGGATGAGGGAAGGAAAATGGAAACAGGTGGGTAAGGGAAGGCTGCTCAACTTTGAAGTCTGCTGAAGTCCTGAGTGGTAAAGATAAAATTCATATATTAATAATGTTCTTCCTTTGTAAAGAAAATACCACCTTAAATTAAAAAAAAAAAAAAAGTGGGAGGTTAACATTTGCAAAATTGGAATTATAAACCATTTACATTTTTATATATATTATGGAAAGTCAGGTAGTCTTAAATCTTTTCTTTTACTAAATTGTAATGGAGGAAACCTTTAACTTTTCCATTCTGGCAAATGGACACAGTTATGTGGACGAGTCATTTACTCTCATAACCACTAGGCTTTTAATACTCTGCAGCATTTTCAGGGCTGGATATTTATAACAGGAGTTTCTTAACTCCTGTTTCTGTGCTTTTTCTGGCAGTCTGGTGAAGCCTATGGATTCTTTTCAATGTATAAAATATATAAGATGTATAAAATGAAGTAGACAGGATCACAAAGGTACCCAATTAGATTTATCAAAAATATTTAAAAAACCAAGTCAGGCCGGCCCGTGGCTCACTTGGGAGAGTGCGGTGCTGATAACACCAAGGCCACGGGTTCGGATCCTATATAGGGATGGCCGGTTTGCTCACTGGCTGAGCGTGGTGCTGACAACACCAAGCCAAGGGTTGAGATCCCCTTACCGGTCATCTTTAAAAAAATAAATAAATAAATAAATAAATAAAATAAAAAACCAAGTCTGTGATTAGTAAAATATACTTCTCTTTCTAAATAACAGGATGTAGTGGCAGGGCTGATAACTACCAAGATTTTTAAGTAGTGATGCGAATAATTGATATTTAGAGATAACTGTAGTGTTTATCACACTACAGTTTATATCTATACAGTATAGTTTATATCACACACAACTGTAGTGTGATATAAGGATATCTGTGATAACCTTTAATGTCAAAGTCCTATATACTGTTATTACTACTGTTGTCTTTTGTCTCTGTTCACAGCTGAAAAGACAGCTCAACTTCACTTAGAGGCTAGTGAAAATGAATAGTAATTCTATTTCTCCTCTTAGTTCATAGGCCCCTCCTCTGACTTAAAAGGATCCCAGATTAAGAATCCACGGTGCCCTCTCTCTGTTATCTGCCCTCTGGGCCAGATGAGGTTAAACTGGGAGTTGGTTGCTACCTGGAGGCTCAAACTTTCTATTGTGGCTGAGGAGAAAGTGGAAAGTATCTGCTGGGACCCCACACCCCACTCACATGTAAGCCTTGTAGTTGCTGCCAATCTTCTGGACCCGGATGTCATACTTGGCATCAATGAAAGGCTCTGCTGTGGCATAGGTCTGGGTAAGAGCCACCACACTAGCAATGTCCTGGAAGTCATAGTGGTTTTCTACTTTGACCTAATGTTGGAACAAGGCAGAGAGGGAGAAAGGGAGACATACACACTCATACATGCTGGAAAGTCACAAGGGCTATGAGCCTCCAAACTCATCAAGATGTTTCCAGTCTAGATGCAAAGCTGCGTGCCACACCTCCCCAGGAGGCCCCTTCTCTCTAGCTTCCCTTTCCAGGCTCAGAGGCCATACTTGCTACAAAGGGCCCGAGGGACCAAGCAGGTGGCCTGGACTCTGCTTGTTGAAAGAGGTCTGGTTGGGTAAACACTCATGGCTTCAGAGGGGCTAAATCTTCTCCTTGGAAAGAATTCATCAGGAACAGAGGCAGAAGAGTAGTCCACAAATGGGTTCTCTGAAAAATGCCCTTCTCGGCCTCTACCCCAAAGCATAGCAGGCCCTCTGCCTTACCTTGCCCATGCCCGAGTGAGCGTGGCCAATCTTCACCACCACGGGGAATGTGGGCAGTGTGAGCTGAAAGCAGAGGAAAAAGGAACAAACTGGTCAGAATGGGCCTTTCTCTGGAATCCTACAAATATTTTTCTTGGGAACACCCTTGGGAGGATCCTCTAAAGAACTAGTCCAACCTACTGGCTTTACAAATTATAAAACTGAGGCCCACAGAATGACAGTGACTTTCCAAGGTCACATAGCATATTAGTGGCAGAGCTACAAAATGCTGTTCTCCTATCTGGTATTCTCTATATCTTTAAAACTCATTGCTTCAAACTTCTCTGCATTAGACAACCTAAGGCAGGACTGGCCCTCAGCCAAACAGAATTTTTTTAAAAAATGTATCTCTGAAAGGGTGAATTTTACTGTATGTCAATTATAGCTTAATAAACCCAACTTTTTTAAAAAAATGCATCTTTGAGATCTTTATGTCCCTTATGTCATGTGCCTCTTAGTACCTACTCCTCTTCAAAGGTCCAGCTTTCCTGTAATAATCCTGGCTGTCCTCTCCTTTCACAATCTTTCCTGCTCACTAACACCCCCAAACTGACTGCCAAACACAGCTTAGTATGTGACGGCCTATTTCTGCCCAGGTTGGTGCTTGGAAGTGAGCTATTACAAGAATTCAATACGTTTATCATTGGAAAGAGATCCTTAAGATAGTAAACTCTACCTTGAGGTAACCATATTTTAACAGAGGAGCAATAAAAACTTAAAAGCTAAAGAATTAGCCTAAAGGCAGGTTTCAAGTTATTACAAAATGCAGATGTTAGAAGTAATGTGGTGGAGGGGAAGGGAGACTAGACTAGACTCAGGAGACTCATGTTCTGGTGCTCTCTGCCACTAACTTTCTGCAAGTCACTTTTCCTCACTGAGCTTCAGCATTCGCATCTGTCAAAT